AATGCAAAATGAAGTTTTACAAATTCTTATTATTTTACTGACTTTATTTCTGCGTTTACTGTATGTCAGACAGGTTATGGCTTCATACAGTTGCAAAAAGTTGGAAGCCTAAGATTGGGAGAATATTTTGCAATTACGATCTATGGGAATATGACGGATAAAAAATTTTACTGGTCTATTTTTAAATTAATAATGACAGTAAATTTTAAGTTGAGGTTGCTAAAAATGTAAAATATAGTATGTTTAAAAATTTATTTTACATGCTTTACACAAAGAAATTGTTGTATCAGCTTAAAACGTACAGCAAGTAGCTACTGATCTAATGCACATAGTTCGATCTAAACTTTATCTTACAGAGTCTAATATTACATTTGTGAATGATATCTGTGCTGCAGGGAGTTTCTGTCCTTGGTGAAGGAGAAATTGGTCATGAAGAGGAAGAAAAACCAGACAATAATTTCTGCTCCAAATATTATATCACAGCAATATAGAATCAATTGTAGGATGACTTGCTCACTTACCTTGTTTGATGAACATTTGGTGTCTGAGTTACAAATCAGACATTGGGAATGAGCTATAGTGATGCCAGAGATAGGATGTTAACATTGGCGGGGTGGAGGAAGGGAGGCAGAACAAGATCAAGGGTAATCTGTTCTGGAATCTATAGCTAGTAGAGCTATTGTGTAATTAATCCAAAGTAAAATGAAAAAATATGTATTTTTCTGAATTAGAGTCTGTCGTGGCTATTACATTCTCCATTTTTCTGAAAAAAGTTAAACCTGTAGAGCATAAAAGCAGTCTGGAGTAGGAGAAAACAAAAGGATGGCCTGTGCTGATTCTTACAAAATAATTTCAGGTATAGTCTTTTTTGCCAAGAAAGTCTGATGCCATGTGAGTAGTGAAAATGGATTCTGCAGATTTTTCTTTTATTTGGGCATTTTGTCCTATAACATCTGCCCAAACCCATGTCTGAAGCACCTAGTCGAGTACGTGTACATGTGTTATCGCAGGAGCTTTGTAACTTTGCTGTGCCGTAGAGGTACCTGCTTTCCGCCTAGCTTTCTATTTTACCTTGTTTATGCTTCTAGGAACGTGTCCCAAACTACAGCGTTATTTTTGGAGGGAATCCCCCTTGTTTATTGCTCTTTTGCTAGGAATGCTGGATTTCTGGGAGCACGTTGGCCCACCTTCAATGGGATAGGCAGATGGTTATCAAATGCTGTCTTGTAGCCTGGCAGTTATAGCATTTACTCTAAGAGGGGCACTTGGGATAGTGTTGTGACACTGAGCCATGCCTCTGGCATGTAAACAGCAAAGTTCGGGTGGTCTATTGTAGTCGGCATTTCCTATTCCCTAGCTCTAGGTCGCTCCTAACATGTTTTCAGAGGTCTGTGTTCTTGGGATGCACTTGCCTCGGGAGTTGGGCATTGCCTTTCACAAGCACCCCACTCGTCCAGGTAACTGTATGGAAAGAGGAGAAATACAGTATCAGTGCCCTGAACCACTCATGCAGTGCATAGTTCCTAATTATTTGGCATGACAGCAACTATATTGAAGGTGTCAGAGTGGACCCTAGATATCAATTTCAACATTTGTTCATGTTATAAAGTGGCCAGATGGTTATTTTCTGTATCAGTGGTTAAACAAAGATTTACTAAACTGGGGATTTTTTTTTTTTAAAGAAATCACTCCTTACACAGATACTGGAGCAGGCTAACCATTGCAGAACATCTCCATTTGTCAGTAAGCTTTTGCAAACACCAAAATATCCCTGCCTAGTGTTTGTGGAGATATTGTGAAAGCAGACAGTCAGTGTTGCATGATCCAGAAAAAGAACCAGCTATTAAACTGATTTCCAGTTTTACCTTAACAATAGTTATTTTATCCCATTTTCCCCAAATTCTCATAAATTTTGAAAAAGGGAGGGATGGAGTCCTTAAAGCTCAATGGGAGGAATTTTTGTATTTTTTCATACCTACCTCTTTGCAATAGCAGGGCCTAGCTCATGTAGTTAAAGGAACATTGTAAATTCTGAGAGGCACTTTTCAAATACAGAGACATCCCTTTGTCCTCATCATCCTCATCCCTGTTGTGCTGGAACATAGTGATGTGAAAAATGGTGAGATGTAGTTGCATAACTCTGAAAGTTCGCGTGTATTCCTTCAAAAGGAACAAGAAAGAATAATTCCTCTGAACAAAATGTTCAGACTTTACAATGCCATATTTTGTGACAGAAGCAAATTTAAGTTTCTCTCTCTGCCTTTTGTTGTTTTTTTTTTTTTTTTCTTTCTCCACTGTAGACTATAACTAATCAGAAGGTATTTCAGGTTAGAGTATTTTTAGACTGGAGCAGTATTTTTGGGGCAGGTGTCTGTTCTCACTGGCACAACAGTAGTGAGCGTTCAAAGAATTAGCTGTCTTGTGAATGCTCAGAGTCCAAAGAAAGGGAGAAGGAAAAAGCTAAACTCAAGATTAGAATGATTGACAAGATCTCTTTACCCTTTTTAAGAACATGGAGATTTTTGCTTCACTTAAATTACTCAGTGCAGAACTGAAATGCAGTTCTTCTGAAGTCTAGGTTTCTAACATTTTCTTACAAGCTTGCTTTCTTTTGTCTTTTTTTAGGGCAAATTTTTAAAAGTCCATGTCTTGGACAGTAGGCCTCATTTGAAAGCTTCCTTCTGTTTTTTGGAGAGTTCCCTCCATGTCTCTTGACACTCAGAGAAAAATGAGGACTTGAAAGTGATCTCTGGTCTGTCAGTTTGGAAGGCACACAGCAGCATTAAAATGTTACAGGATAGCTTTATAGTCAACAGGAGGACACAACTAAAAAGGCCCATTGGAGCCTACATACAAGAGCTTTGGAGTAATTTGAGGAATTTATGTTAGATTGTCATTCCAAAGTCTCCTAGTCTTACCTTGTCTTCTGGGCAGATGTGCCTTCTCTCCAGCTGAACAGCTGATCATCTGCCAATCAAAAGTTTGTGGGGATTTTTGGTCAAAGCATGATAGGATTTTGAGAAGTTCACTCAATTTGATGACTACCTATTAGTGAGAGATTCTGATCTAGCATCTATGGGCCTTGGGGAATGCAAGTTTGTTTCACTTGCTAAAGAAAGTAAAAAAAAAAAAAAAAAAAAAAAAATTGTATTGTACAATTTCCTTTTACTGTCATCCACATGGAAAACAGGGGACTACCCTCATCCGTATTTATACCAAAAATGTTCAACATGCCACCATGCTACTAATCTCCTTGCATTTTTTTTCCAAACCTCATTCTCACCCAAGATGAAAGTATATTCCATTTACTAGACTTGTGTTGTGAGCTTTTATTTTTTCCTATTTTTGATAGAACTATGGGATTTAGTAAGTCAGGAAGACTTTTTGTACATTTGAGGATCAGCATAAAGAAAATGCTATTTCCACTTGGTGCTATTTCAGTGGATTAGGCAGTGCATCCAAACATACATACTAGCTTGAGTGATAAAACCTCAAGGTCTCATAGCCCTTCTGGAACTGTGATAGCTTCCTTGATGCTACCATGTTCTTGCACATGTTTTTCATCATGGCACTCTTGACGTAAACATCCCATACTCTGTGTGATAGGAATTCCGCAATCATCTTGTCATGATTCATTATCTAGACAGCACTAATGGAAAGGAAATGAAGAGTCCACTTCAAAAAAAAAAAAAGAAAAAAACTAGAGTACAGTACCATACCGTGGTTCTTAAGTGTACTGTATTTGTGTAAACTCCCAAGTTCAGCTTTCAGTGGCTTCTTGAGTTTAGCAAAAGACATGAAAGTAATAGCTCTGATGGCCCACTTATAGCTACAGCGCTGCAGAAAATTACTCAGGGAAGTCTGTTGGTTACTGTGTCTCAGAAGATTCCCAATGCTCCTTTGGAACACAACACATCCTCTAGTGGGACTATTCAGATGGATTGTTCAAAAAACCACAGCAGTTTATAACTGTAGCCCATGTACATAATATTTCAACTCATATTTTATATGATTCACATCTGTTGTTTTGTCAGTTTTAACTGATTTAATCTAGGTGCTCTGTTTTATTTAAAGGATGTAATTTTTTATATTTAGCTCTATAACTAATGTCTGTGAGTGTTTTCAAAAGTGTTTCTTGACCATATTGATGCTTTCCAATGTACAGTGTTTAAAAAATTTGGCCTGAAAGTCGAATTCTCCTGTCTAAGCCAGATCTTCTGCATGTGTTAAGGTAATAATCGTACAATAAAAGTAGATTATAACATGTATATGAGAAGCATCAGGGACGAAGTTATTTACTTTAGTGAGAGCAGCTGTAATTTTAAACAAACATTGATTTGTCTCTGTATATGATGTATATATAGACATATATACATTTCTTATCCTGTTCTTTCCCATGCATTCTTCATTTTATTGCAGTCAAAAACTACAACTTACATATAGAAAAATATCGTCAGTGCTAGGTTCTTCTAGCAATTAGTTTCCAAAATACTTGCAGTTGCACCAGTGACAGAGGGTAATTAATTTGCTCATGCAGTTTCTTTCCTTCTTTTCATAGTGCTAAGGCTCCTCCATCTGCCACCACATGTCTTTCTGCCTGACTGAGATGTTTCTGTGGTCTTTGAAGACTAACTTACATGTTAGAGGTGAGCTGTTACCTGCTACTAAAACAAAACAGCAAAGTCTGAACTTGGTCAGTTCTTTGCTTATCTCATCATAGAACTGGTACATCCTTTCAAGTAAAAAATGTTAAGATTATGTTTGATTGGTTGCGTTTTCCTTTTTAGGAAGCTATGCCCTACTTGACTGCAAGCTTCAGTTTAATGACTAGTTTGGATGAGTGAGGATCTGTAGTCAAATGATTTGCAGAGGCATTGTGATTTGTACTTAGCATGAAAACAAAAAATTACTGCATGTTCTGGGTATTTTGCATGATTACTTGAAATTTTGTACTTACAAGATATATTTATCTTACTAATTGATTGTTCCAGGAGCCACATGTACCTTCATTCAACTTGCCTTGCTATTGCTAAAATATAATACTAAACAAAACCCTCACTGGTTTATAAGTGGACCGTATCAAAATATTTATTTATTTATTTACGACATTATTACGATTTTTTTAAATTTAATTATTTACGACACCATGCAACTTGTAGTGTACAATACTTTTGTTGAAATATTATTTTGAATATTATTGACAATTCAACTGAATATGAATGAATATTCAGTTGAATGTTATTACTCAAATATTAACTGTATCTTGGCATCCCATCTTTGTGTGAGAACTATAACAACAAGATTAAAAAGTCAAAAGCTGTATTTCATAGAAAAGTCTGATGGTTTAAGTAAACACATAGTTGTGATTTATTGTAGTTCAAGGTGTACTGTGGCCTGTTGTGCCTATTTTCTGCCTTTGACCTTCTCGCTTCCTCTCTGTCCATTTATTTGTTGCCTACAAGCCTAATTCTAAAATTCTGAGGCAGAAGGGACTGCTGCATTGTTTTAAAAGCTGCCTGCCATTCCAGTGCCTTCCTACATGTAGGGAATTTCTCCCCATGATATATCCCTGTCTGAGTTTAGAAGTAGACAGATGCAGTGTCAAACTAATTATTTGAAAATAATGCAACTTCAAACCACGCTTAGATATGCTTGGTGGAGCTTGCCGTGGCACACCTAAGTATTTACTAGTCAGCCACATCAGGAGCTGGCTGGTGTGGCTTGCAGTCCCAATGTACCTGAAACATCCAAATTTCTTTGCCATGGGAACAATACCTATAGATAAAGAATATTGAATCATTTGAAAGGGCAGCCTTTAAAAAATCCTGTTGTCTTTAGCTCAGCTTTGCCAGCCATCAGAAAATATTTTAAGTTATTCTGAGGTACACTTTTCACCATGATACTTTGCATGTCGGCAGCTGGAAGAGAATCAGAGTGTATGTGAAGGAAATGACAGCTCCAAATAAATATAAGTACCTGCCACATTCTCCTTCAGCCCTTGCTTGCTGGTTCTGGA